CGTACAATGACCGGAGTGATCCCATGTTAATTTTGTCCCAAAACCGGAGCATTCCCTCGCCCGTTGGGGGTCCCGCCGACGACTCTTCTGCCGGGGGTCCTGCCAACCCCATGTCCTGTCCCGTTGGGGGTCCTGCCAACGCCTGCTCCATCGTGGGTTCCACTGACACCAGCCCAGGTTCCGTCCAGGGTCTCGTCTAGGTCTGACCCGCCAGGGGTTCCACCAGCCTGTCCTCGAGCCCGGCCCCCTGACTTTCCCGGCCGCGGTCCTCGCCCCCGGGCCCGACCCCTGACTCTTCCAGCCGCGGTCTTCGCCCTCGAGCCCGGCCCCCTGACTTTCCCGGCCGCGGTCCTCGCCCTCGGGCCCGGCCCCCTGACTCTTCCAGCCACGGTCTTCGCCCTCGAGCCCGGCCCCCTGACGTTCCCGGCCGCGGTCCTCGCCCTTGGGCCCAGCCCCCTGACTCTTCCAGCTGCGGCCTTCGCCCTCATGCTCGGCCCCTTGAGTTCGCCCGCTGTGGCCTTCGCCCCTTTATGAACTCTGCCTTGCCCCCGGGCCGTCCGCCCGAGACCCCCAACGCAAACTCTGCCTTGCCAATTGGTGTCTCTCAATGTCGAGTACGCTTGCTTGGTAGCACATGTCTTCCGAGCGTCTTGCTTCAGAAGCGAGGCAAGAATACTTCCTGGCATTCGGAAAACGAAGAGTGTAACAGGCGAGCAAGTGTGCGTCATATGAGAGGCCCCGCCTTACATTTTCCGCCACATATTTGGGGAAATTGGTCCGTGCGCAAGGCATTGTGGGGATTTTAAGACCGCAGAGTCTACACATGTGCAGCCTCGTCATTTCTCCAAACGAAGTACGCCGGGCTCGGTAGAATTCCAAGTATGCTGGACATTGGAACAGTACTTCGGCGGCACTCGGCACCAGTGTTGTGCTAGTTACTGAAAACCAGTAACTAGTTACCATTACTAGTTACTTAATTTCAAAAGTAACTCAGTTACTTTACTAGTTACTTACACCCAAAAGTAATGCGTTACTTAAAAAAAGGGCTCCCATTAATGCCCTTATAGCCTTCATTTCAGTACTGTTATTGCATTGGAGAATAATACAATCTGTTGATCAACTTGATATGCATTATATGCAATCTGGATTGCATCGATATTAGCTGGCTTTCCATTTTTGTATATTCTTTCTCCAGGTAGTTGGAAAAAGTTTTCCGTCCCATATGCCGTGTGCCGCCTGGACATGGTATCATGCTAACTAGCTCTCTGAAAGCGGGTGAATCCACTGTAGCAATACCCTGCATGTGTTCTACAACATACCGTGCAATGGCTTTATCGACTTTTCCCTGGCTAGCAGTCCCTTGGTTAAAATCCAGCCGCTGTTGCTTAGGTAGAGGTGGAGTGGCGTCGGCTGAGTCTCTGTGGTCTTAGCTACTAGCTTCGTCCCAGCATGTTGTTTTTGCAGATGTTTTAAGATATTTGAATTACTGGTTTGGGCAGTAGATAGGATCTTTGACCCGCCAGGACACAACTTACATTTAACTAAAATGTTCTTTTCTTTGTGCTCGACAAAAGTGAAATAGTGAGAATATCTCCAGGTGGAGAAACTAGACTTGAGCTCCGCCGCCGCCATGATAGTCTTGTTAGTAAACAACACAAACACGCCCACAGCCCGTCTCCGCACGTGACACAGGAAGTATCTAAGTACATTTACTCAAGTACTGTACTTAAGTACAGTTCTCATCTCTGTTCGCCTGGCTGTTGACTATATAAAAAAAACTAACGGAGTAACGCACCATGTAGTAACGGTAACTGAGTTACTGAATTTAAAAAGTAATGCGTTAGCGTACTAGCTACTGCCAAAAATAACGGCGTTACAGTAACAGTTACAGTTAGTCCCAACACTGCTCGGCACACGTAGTATGCTTGAAATAGTGGCTCTGGAGCAGCTATACTCGACATTGAGAAACACCCAATGTTCCTCAAATTTGCCATACAGTATCCCCAACCTCCTCCTTTCAACCTCTTGGCAAACCTTTTATTTTCCCCTTAAACAAACAATTCCCTCTACCTGTCTTCCCTTTGGGCCCCGCCCCCTTTTCTTCACCTATATCCAATGCACCCCTGATTAGCACACCTGATTCCCCTGTCACTAACAGCAGGACTGAGTGAAAGCAGGAGGGGAGAGAGGGACAGCAGAAAATGTCTACAGTGATGGCTCTGTCACACCACCCACAAATAAAACAGGTTCACATGGATAGGATACTAGATACGTTTGCACATTCATTATATACACTACACATTTTTCTTAGATTTTTTAACACCATAGTCCCTAATATATTTGTAGAAAGGCAGGAAATGGAATTCAATGGAGAAAATGTTTCATTGTGGAGTACCCCCTGTTTTGTGTCCCCCCCACTTCTTAAACCAAAGTTACACCCTTGAGTTAAGGTGTACAGTGTTTTCCCTTACCATGCAGAAAGACAGAATGTATTGAACTGTATTTTGAGTCGGCTGGGATACAGATTTTCTGTGCCTATGGACTACTAGCTATTAGCTATAGCCAATGTTGGGCAAGTTACTTCCAAAATGTAATATATTACATATTACTTATTACTGTCTTTTGAAAGTAATAAGTTACATTACAATATTACTGTCTCTGAAATGTAATGAGTTACATTACTTTTTAGTTACTTTTTAGTTACTTTCACCAAAATAACCTCAAAAGAATGGCTAGGTATTTGAAATGCTAAAATGTAGTTTAGTGCAGCTCATTATACATCCAATGAAGGACGATGTGGTATAGCATAACAACTGTGTAGGCCCTTAAGGCTACTAAAAACTTTTATTACACGGCTTAGTTGAATACTCGATTCTGATTGTAAATTCTTAACATGTGACACATTGTTAATACAGCAGTACAGTCCACTGTCAAGGACTATGATGAAGGTTGCTAAGGAGGATCAAGAAAGAGAAAGGAAAAGAGGTTAAAAGACGGAGCGCTGGACGTCAGATAAATCACCAGAAGAAGGCAGACAGGAAGTAAACAATAACAGGACACGGAATGGGCTCTGTAGTGTGTTTAGTATATGGCCGTGTACAGGCCCGGTTCCAGAACAAAATGACTCAGGGTGCCTCTGAGATTACAAGGGGCGCAGCAGTAGCAGGTTTACATGAGCAATAGTGGCCGGCAACAGCAATGAAAAATAGCATTGATGGTCCCCAATGAACAGATTATGGCCTTTGTTATGTTTTGAAACCAAGCAAGTGAGAACATTTCAAGTGAGTTAAAAGTGCAATCCTGAAATATTTCATATAGTCCAAAGTGGACTGTGGCAAAGAACAGCACAACAGCTTCAAAACTGTACTGATAAAACAAATGAGAACATATTGTAAATCAAGGCAAATGTTATTTGAACCAGCTCATGGTTTGAAATGGCAAACATTGAAAAGCAAAAGTATTATTAAAACCATGTACTAAATCATCACTTTGGTCCCATCATATACTCTGGGAAGATAATATTTACTGTGCTTGAAAACTGGTATGACATCATCATGTGAGGTTGACTTTGTGACCTGGAGAACATTTCAGCTGCAACATTAGCTCGTTGATAAGCTTGGGATATGAGATATTTTTGTAGCCATTCGTGGTGAAGGCATCTGTGCTATTGTATGCATTATTTTTGACCCAACATTTCTACAGGCATGGCAGAATATGGCACTATTTCCACATGAATATTCCATGGTTTATTTGTATACCACGAGCTGCAAAATGACCGACTAACCCCATTGTACAGGTGGGTACTTGTTTAGATATACCTGGGCAGGCTCTGTTTTGCCGTGGTCTCCTGGCACCTGCGGGCCGCAGAGGGGCGGCGTAGTTTCCGGCGACAAAGACTGCTGCTCCGGGGGCGAGGGCGGCGAGTCAGGCGGGAGTAAGCTAGTGTCCACAACGGAGGGTCACGCGATGTCCCCATCTGACCTGTTGCTACTGTCTGCAGTAGATGCAGTGTTGCTGGCGTTTAGTGATGGTTGCTTTAACAATTTTCGTATAAATGATTATCCACAGATGTGTGTCACTGCTGTGGAAGCACTTTGGAAATGATGCACGCGCAGCGGAGCAGGTCACGCGCACCTGACACAATTTGTTGTTTGTATTTTTCGCTCCGTTTTCTTTTTTGAATAGAGGATGCATAACATTAAACTGCCCCGAAGATCCCAACGCGAAGCCTGAAGGGTAAACACCAGGTTTACTAATCTACCCGCACAATTTGTCTCTGGTGTCGGAAAGTCTATGTTAGTACATTCTTAAAAAACAAAATACCATTTCATTTTGGGTTAAAATGTGTTGTAACTGCGTTAGAGCATTGTAACGGGTAATATATTACCCACATTTCATTAGTAATGCGTTACATTACTTCGTTACAGCAAAAAGTAATATATTACTGTAACTCCGTTACTTTTGTAACGCGTTACACCCAACACTGGCTATAGCTGGTGGATGTCAAAAATTGGCACTTGAACGTTGCTACCACCATCTGTTCATATGTGTGTACACTCAGCGGCAGGGACTCCAATTTTAGCTAGAGAGCATTTTATTCACAGAGGTGCACTCTGGTACTTCAACAAATAGCTATAACTAATATTAATAACTGCTAATAATTATTATTTATTTAATTTTGTGTTGCTGATGTCATTCTTTATGTAGCCTTTCCATCAGCAGTTTTTGAAGGTTAATGCTAAATGAGGCCTGAATTTCTCCCATTTGTACAGGACATGATGAAATCTTCCGAAACAAGTTGACTGGCACAAATGTTATTCTAGTCCTTAGTGCATTGCATTTTTAAGATCTGGACTGTGTTGTGTAGTGTCCTTAAGTTTGTATTTTACTGAATACAGTAGATGTAATTTATGAAATATGCACTGTAAACTCTGTCTTACTTCTTGATGTTGTGTCCGACGACTCTAAGTCAAGATATTGATGAAGGGACTTCAACAAACCTCTCTAATTGTCCAGAAGTATTTGCCGGCCAGGTCCTTAGGTGAAGCACACGTCTCCAGGTCATCCTCTCTGGTCAGTCTGCGAAGCCATACCAGCTCACAATTACAGTGCAGAGGGTTCCCTCCAAAACTCAACACCAGCGCCGTGAGAGGGGAACCCTTCATCTTAGCATACACCGGGATCCGCAAGAACAATGGGTCCGGAGGAATCTTCTTTAGCTTGTTGGATGTCATGTCCAGTCTAGTGATGAAGACAGAGACACAGGAAGAGGGATAAACCTTTAACTTTTATATTATGTTGAGGCATGTAGTGAACAGTTTGTGGAATCATGTAAAAGATAGAATTGCTGAATTGTCCAGCAACACCCTATATAATATGATTAGGCTTTTGGAAGTTTTGCAAAATATGTTGCAGCTTTTTTAATATTGTTCCTTCAGTAATTATACCTAATTTGCAACTATGTAACACAGTGTTTGTTTCTTACTATATTTACGTTATGCTCTTAACAGCACAAACCAATTTTGTGCATTTATCAAGCACATTTTGACAATATGAGCACGTATCATTTTTACAACTGTCACAGACTACTCCACTCAACGAGAGGTCTCTGTCGGAGTTCTCTGCTGATTAGCTCTATGGTTGCGGTTGAATTTTCAATTTTGCTTAGGAAAGCTCATAACGGAGTGACACCCGGAAGTTAAAAAAATATAAATGCAACCCTTTTTTCTCAATTTTTCATGAGATGAACTCAAACATCTAAAAAAAATTCTATATACACAAAATAACCATTTCTCTCAAATATTGTTCACAAATCTGAAACAATCTGTGATAGTGAGCATTTCTCCTTTGCCGAGATAATCCATCCCACCTCACAGGTGTGGCATATCAAGATGCTGATTAGACAGCATGATTATTGCACAGGTGTGCCTTAGGCTGGCCACAATAAAAGGCCACTCTGAAATGTTCAGTTTTATCACACAGCACAATGCCACAGATGTCGCAAGTTTTGAGGGAGCGTGCAATTGGCATGCTGACAGCAGGAATGTCCACCAGAGCTGTTGCCCGTGAATTGAATGTTCATTTCTCTACCATAAGCTGTCTCCAAAGGCGTTTCAGAGAATTTGGCAGTACATCCAACCGGCCTCACAACCGCAGACCACGTGTAACCACACCAGCCCAGGACCTCCACATCCAGCATGTTCACCTCCAAGATCGTCTGAGACCAGCCAGTCGGACAGCTGCTGCAACAATCGGTTTGCATAACCAAAGAATTTCTGCACAAACTGTCAGAAACCATCTCAGGGAAGCTCATCTGCATGCTCGTCGTCCTCATCGGGGTCTCGACCTGACTCCGGTTCGTCGTCGTAACCGACTTGAGTGGGCAAATGCTCACATTCGATGGCGTCTGGCACATTGGAGAGGTGTTCTCTTCACGGATGAATCCCGGTTTTCACTGTTCAGGGCAGATGGCAGACAGCGTGTGTGGCGTCGTGTGGGTGAGCGGTTTTCTGATATCAATGTTGTGAATCGAGTGGCCCATGGTGGTGGTGGGGTTATGGTATGGGCAGGCGTATGTTATGGGCAGGCGTATGTTATGGACGACGAACACAGGTGCATTTTATTGATGGCATTGTGAATGCACAGAGATACCGTGACAAGATCCTGAGGCCCATTGTTGTGCCATTCATCCACGACCATCACCTCATGTTGCAACATGATAATGCACGGCCCCATTTTGCAAGGATCCGTACACAATTCCTGGAGGCTGAAAACATCCCAGTTCTTGCATGGCCAGCATACTCACCGGACATGTCACCCATTGAGCATGTTTGGGATGCTCTGGATCGCCGTATACGACAGCGTGTTCCAGTTCCTGCCAATATCCAGCAACTTGGCACAGCCATTGAAGAGGAGTGGACCAACATTCCACAGGCCACAATCAACAACCTGATCAACTCTATTCGAAGGAGATGTGTTGCACTGCGTGAGGCAAATGGTGGTCACACCAGATACTGACTGGTTTTCGGACCCCCCCAGACCCCCCCCAATAAAGCAAAACTGCACGTTTCAGAGTGGCCTTTTATTGTGGCCAGCCTAAGGCACACCTGTGCAATAATCATGCTGTCTAATCAGCATCTTGATATGCCACACCTGTGAGGTGGGATGGATTATCTCGGCAAAGGAGAAGTGCTCACTATCACAGATTTTTTCAGATTTGTGAACAATATTTGAGAGAAATGGTTATTTTGTGTATATAGAAAATGTTTTAGATCTTTGAGTTCATCTCATGAAAAATGGTTGCATTTATATTTGTGTTCAGTGTACTTAAGAGGCAGCCATGATTAGAACTGTTTGGATTCTCTAGAGGTCCAACCTATTTATCATATTTTACATTTCCTCACTCCTCCGCCCCGCCCCCTTACTGTGTATCAGTCACTGATTGGACGCTGCAGCACATCACTGATCTGATGCTTCTTAACATCAGAGAAGTTTAATAGAGTGAAGATAACACATTGAACTCAGGGGAGTCAGTCCTCAGTTTATAATGTTTGTTTCCAAAGTGATCTAGTTGAAAAGTGATAATACATCTGAACAACAAAACGGACCACATGCAACTTTCTTCATCTATATATTTATTATTTTATTTGTATTTATCGTAATTTTCGTTCAGACTGAAAAAAATGTACCGTTGGGTTTAACAGCTTATTGTAATTCTTCTTGAAAATAATAAGCCTCAAGGAGGCGGTATTTGTGTGTATATTAATGATCTGTGGTGCCGATCATACTCAGTAAAATGTAAAACCTGTGATCCCAACGTAGAAATTCTCAGCATGACGTTAAGACCCTTCTATCTGCCTAGAGAATTCGGGTGTATTTTACTGTTTGTTGTTTATGTGCCTCCCAGCGGCAGAGCGTCACTGGCGGCCGGCTCCATCGCTGACTGTGTTCACGAGCTGCAACTCAGCCACCCCGATGCACCGGCAATAGTGCTCGGGGACATGAACCAATGTCGCCTAGAGACTGTGTTACCTGGGTTTCAACAGTATGTTAAGGATCACACCAGAAAAGACAATATCCTGGACAAATGCTTTGTAATTGTTAAAGGAGCCTATGTGACTAAATGTAGACCACCAATACTGAACTCTGATCATAATGTTGTGAATATGATACCAGTGTATAAGACCAAACTGAAGAGAAGTAAACCAGAAAAGAAAGTAATAAGGACATGGACAAATGAAAGTAGGGAACAGTTGAAAGCCTGTTTGGATTGGACAGATTGGGACATTTTTCAGGAAGGTTCACTGGATGAAATAACTACTGTTACCAATGACTATATTAACTTCTGTGTAGAACTAGTTGTTCCCACTAAAGAAATACAAATCTATCCAAATAATAAATCGTATGTGACTAAGGACATTAAAACCGTTATAAATAATGAAAGTCAAATTGAGGGAATCAAAACTGGCCCACAGAGAGCTTTTGGAAAATTATTTTAAAGCCAAAAACCCCAAAAAGGTATGGGACACCATGAGAACCATGACAGGAATGTGATCCTCAGCTAAACCTATTGTGACGAACAATGAATTTTGTTTTGCTAACGAATTAAACACGTTCTTTACCCGTTTTGAGTCACTGGATAATTCTGCAAAGTGCACTGAAATGCTCGAAACCATAATACCTGCTTCCTCTGACAAAATTACCATCAGTGTCGAAGAGGTCAGAAAAGCATTTCAGTGCACCAACACCAAGAAAGCTGCTGGGCCAGATGGGTGCAGCGGTTTTCTGCTGAAAAACGTTGCTACTGAGCTGGCTCCAGTGTGGCAACCCATCTCTCAGGCTGCTATTGACACGCACACCATCCCTCTGTCATTGACAACTTCACACATCAAACCGCTAAACAAAATTCCATGCCCAAAAGAACATGAGGACTACAGACCAATAGCCCTCACCTCAGTGATTATGAAATCACTAGAAATAATTCTGCTCCGATTTCTTATCAGTACAACACAAGACAAACTGGATCCATACCAATTTGCCTATAAACAAGGGTGTGGTATGGAAGATGCTGTGGCATGGAAGATGCTGTGGCCACTCTGGTTCACATCACTAAACATTTAGATAAACGCAACACCTATGCAAGAGCCCTCTTCCTAGACTTCTCATCAGCATTCAACACAATACAAGCAGACATATTTGTGTCAAAAATTGCCAAAATGGAAGTAAATCCATACCTGATTTACTGGTATGCTGCTTTCCTCACTAGTAGAGAGCAACTTGTGAAGGTTAACAAAACCCTGTCATCTGCCATCACAGCCAATGTAGGCCCCCAGGGCTGCGTGAGTTCAGCTGTGCTCTTTACTCTCTACACGATGATTGTCGTAGCAACACACCAAATCAAGTCATCATTAAGTACTCCGATGATACTGCAATAATATCTCTGCTCAGTAACACAGACGACCCTGAGCTGCACCAACAGGCTGTAAATCAGGTGGTCGAGTGGACTGATAGCAATGCTCTTGAGATCAACACCAAGAAAACTGAGGAAATAATTTTTGGCTCACCATCTGACTCCCATAAAGTCCCCATTGTCATCAATTCAGATGAAATCAAGCAGCGAGTTTCATACAAACACTTGGGTGTAATGATTGACCATCTGGTGTCATGGAAGGATCACATTGAATATCTGAGCAAAAAGGACAAAACAAAGAATTTATTTTCTCCGCCGTCTTAGGTCTTTTGGGGCGAGCAGATACATTCTTCTGTTGTTCTTTACATCTGTGATCTTGTCTATTCTGCAGTACTGCAATACTACCTGGTACAAATGTTTGTCAGCAGCTTTAAAATCAAAACTGCTCCACCTGTTAAAAATCTGCTCAAAGATCGTTGGTCCACCCTGTCAGAGACTCTATGACTCAGCCTATCATAACAACCTAGTGAGGCTGTCCAACCACATCACCTCTGACCCAAACCATGTTCTGAACAGAGAATATGAACTGCTACCATCTAATCGGAGATACAGGGTCCCACGATTCAATAAAGTCAGACTCAAGCACTCCTTTGTGCATCAGTCAATCCTCACAGTAAATACAGAGCTAAATCCCAGATCAAATGCACGCTGAAGGCTCTTTGAGCAGCTTTTCTCTCACTGATTGTGCTGTTATGTTAAATGTTTTTTGTTTGTGTTTCATGTATTTGTGTCTGGATATTTGTCTGTTGATGTTGGACACGGAGCTGCTGTG